CAGTCTCATTATTGAAAAATATAGTGTTTTCTTTATCATTTGGGTTTTTCTCTCTGGGAGTTTTTAGACACTTCTCTTCATCTCCAGTATTCTGAAATTTCATAATGGCATGACTTGGCGTGTGACTTTTATTATTCGTTATAATGGCTCTTAGTCTGTTCTATCAACCTGGAAACTCATGTCCTTGTTCTGAAAATTATTTCTTTGATAATGTCTCTCCTGTGTTCTATTTCTAGAAAATGTCATCACACTTTTATCTCCAAATATTCCTCATAGGTTTTCATTTCTACAATCAGAATTTCCAATAACTGTTTTCTGTGCTTTCAATATTCTTTTTTTAAAATAACATCCTGCCCTTAATTCATAAATGCAATATCTTCTCTGATTTTTGAGGGTATTGATGATTTACTTTCTGAAGTTTTCTGCTCCCTGGATATTTCTGTTTCAAGTTTTGTTTCTTGTGTTTGACTTGTTCTCTTGGTTGTCCCTGCTTATCTCAGAGGAAGGAACCACAGGAATGATTGGAATCTATATGTGTATGTTGGGGACTGCCAACTTGCAGCCTCCATTGTAGGGTGGCCTGGCTTGGCCTGTTCATTGGAGGACACTGACTCCCAGTACTTTTAAGTATTTTCTCTAAGACTGATGAGATCGCTAAAAGAAGGAGGTCCCAACTGGAGGGAATAAGCCCAACTGCCAGTCCTCTGGGAACACAGGATTCTGAGGGGGTTTCAAATCTCACTGTTCAGTATGGAGACTTTCAGTTAATGCCTCATTTTTTAGAACTGTGCTCTGACACCCAGTTGTGCCAGTGTAAATCTGTTCACCTACTCTAAAGAGTATACCTCTAGGCTTCCTCAAGGGCTGGGGAGAGGCAGTCAATATAAAGCTTTGGGTGGAGCTTTCAACAATATGTCAACCTCACTTTCATCCCCACTATCAGTTGCACATGGTGAAGCTAATTCTTGAGGCTTTCTGAGGTTTTGTGATACCAGTTGGATTGCATCTTGGCTTCTTACACCAGCTGCTTATGTTTCAGCTTTCTCAGATCTTCTAAATCAGTTACCGCTAGATTCACCTTCTTTTCATGTTCCAAGCTTCTATATCATTTTTCTTCTATCCTTCTTATCTTTGTGGGTTTATGACTCCTTTTTATCCAGACACTCTTAATGCCATTTTTGAAGGGTTTAGGGAGGGAGCAAAACTAATATTCTATGTTTACTCTCCAATCTAACTACACTTCCCTCTAGATTTTCCTATGGCATATTAAAAAAAAAAATCAACTTTCTAGTAACTTCTCCTCTCTCCCAAATCTTTACTACATAGGAGGAAGTGATTTAGAGCATTCCTTCTTTATGTTCAAGATAAGGGAATTTAAGTTGTCTGAACTTTATAATCACCTATATGTGAAATTAAAGCCTTCCCTTACTTCTGTAATAAACAACCATGAAAAATAACTTCCAAGCCAGAAGGAATTAGTTGTTTTTCTGAATAAAGAAGAACTTTGGAAAATAGAACAAACTTGCAGATTTCATTATAAAAAAGAAATTCACATATAATTAAACTGTGTTCCTAGAAACCTAGTTTGTTTGAGGAAGAATGGTTTATATAAGAAGACAAGGGTCCTCTAGAGGAAAACTTTAGTATAAACTAATGATAATTCTTGTCGTCTATTGGGTACTTTCAAACGACATGGGATTAAAGTGGCTTCCATTTAGCCAGCTGGCCAGGACAGATATAAAGAGTGTTGTAGAACGCCATCTGAAAAATCTCACTTCTGTGGCATTCCAGCTGTATGCATCTCTTCTTTCTGAATTGCCATTTTCACATGAATACACACAGACATTTTGCTCAACACAGCATGTCTAACTCATTACTGCAGGATGAATGATACTGTGTGATTCCTCCTTGGGGTTGATAGCTAGAATAGATGACTTCTCAATTTTTTCTATATTTCAGCAAGTCATTGTATCCTTAGGTTTCACAAGTGTTAAGCCCCGAAGTAATATTGATGCTGAGAGGTAGCAAATTATTACAAATGTGGAATTTTTAAAGATATCTGTGGGTTGCAACTTTTGACTGCACAGAGCCTCATGGAATCTTCCTTTATGGTATAAAAACACTAATGAATTTTTGGATATACTTATTTGACCTCTCCTCTCTGAGCTTCTTCTCTTCTCCCCCAAATCTTTACTACATACTACTATGAGACTATTTCCCTTAAACTCCATTTTTACTATATTTCTCCTTTCTTTACAACCACCAATGATAATCTCTGATCATATGAAGTCTAAATGCATCTGTTTAGCTTTGAAGACCTATCCTGACCCAAGATTCCAGATAAGTTGGTCTTTCCACTGTCCCAGGTCCATATCCACTGCTCTTCTATATGGCTCGCTTTACCTGGAATCCCCTTTGATTTATTCAGTTTTATATATTTAACATGTAGCTATGCCAGGTATAGGGAAACAAGAAAAAGTCCCTGCCATCTAGAAACTCAAAGTCTAATGGGGGAGATAATTAAGGAACTGAGATCGTAAGTAGATATAAGTAGAGGGTACTAACGGGAGTAGTGGAGTGGGAGGTAGGTATAAAATTCTGTTTTGTGAGCAGTGAAAGCTTCCTAGAGAAAGTTCTGTCCAAACAGAGACCAAACAAAGTAGGAGGATGAGTTAGCCAGATGAGAGAAGATGGGTAATATAGCGTAGATGAGGACAACCCTCCCTTCAGGGAGATATCATTCTGCAAATCTACCCAAAAGATCCAATTCAGGTCTTATCTCCCTATGAGGCTCCTTCACTTGTTTCTTATTTGATATCATAGGAAAAAGGGCAGCCATCTTTCTTCTCTTTGTCTTTTTTCCAATGATGAGGCCCCTGGGGCTCTCTTCACTTTGGTTTCTGGTGGCTAGCTGATAGGAAGATGGAGCCTTGGGAACAGAGATAGAGTCCCTGTATGCTTGGGCCTAATTCGCATGCTTCAGTCAGAGTAATCAGAGACTTCACATTGGATATTATGGACACAAACATGCTTCAGTCAGAGTAACCAGAGACTTCACATTGGATATTATGGACACAAACATGCTTCAGTCAGAGTAACCAGAGACTTCACGTTGGATATTATGGACACAAACCCATAGTGGAACTTTGTTTTCTATTTGCTTGTTTGTGTATTTTTTTATAGAAACCTCCCTGGGAAGAGTATCGTGGATTTGTGGTGAGATTTGGGCATCTCTGGGTGCCTTAGCCAAATTCTATTCAATAGCACTCTCCCAAACTGATATTAGATCTGTAATATTTTCCATTCTTCTAAGCTGTTTTTGAGCTAGAAACCTAGAAATAAAAGATTCATTAATTCTCTAGTGTCTTCTAATTTCCTTAAACTCTTATGCTCCTTCTCATTAAACACAGCTGCAGTGCAGCTGTTGGCAGCAGTCACAGGAGTTCAAGGCTAGCCTGTGGCCTAACACAAGGAATAGTTGTTCATTATGCATTCACTCTATGGTGGTGAATGTAGAATGCAAATTTGTACAAGGTGACTATAGAAAATAAAAACCAAAGTGCAGGTGAAGAAAGGGAACAGAATCCTTTTTCAAGCCTCTTCTCAGGTGGCAAAAGATTGAGTCTAAAAATGGACAATCCATTTTACCTCAAGAAAACCTGAACAAAAGACAACAAATCAGGCCTCATTTTCTCATCAGGAACATGAAATCAATTTCATTGTGCTTCAAGACATTCAGTTATCCTCTGTTCAAACCTGAGGAGATGGGTTGTTGCTTCTCTAAAGCTAATTGTTACACTTTGCCATTTGATATGGAATCACCCAATACAGTGAAGAAAATACTAAGTTTATAAGTGAAATGCCATGCAGATCCATTGGAGAGTGCATATCAATGTTCATCAGCTGCACAAGCTCATTAGATCTGAGATTACAGGCTTTTTTGTTAGAATTTGGTGGTGCTCACTCATTTTGACATTATAAACATAAAATTGAAAATTCCACTGTTTTTCTGATACGTCCTAATAATTATGTACCCATTAATTTGTCTTAAAAAATTGGCCTACTGAGCAGTCTCTTATCAGCCTGTTCAAAAAACTTACTGTGTGGTTCTCTATAACTTAAAATGCAGAAGTTAGATAAGCCACTGCACATGCAAAAATTTGTTGCATAAGCAAGAGTTTTGCCAAGCTCTTCTCTGGCTTGCAAGGTAAAAATTATAACTCAAGAAATTACCAACTGTTGTTTGGAATTATTCTGATGTCTGCTTTACACATTTCTAATTCAAGTTTATCTTTAGCATTAGTACCATTATTTATACAACTACTATATTATCACTACTTATCTTCTCAATTAGTGGCATTGAATTTTGAAAGTTTCTCCCATCATTCACTTTTCTTTATTTCCTTAAATAATTAGGCTTCTTGAATTCTCAAGTCTCCTGCTATATCTAGATTCACTGAGCCTATAAGATTTTTCTCCATCATTTCCGTAATTTTCAAGTATACTCATTAAGAAGATTAGCTCAAATGTCATCAGGAAACTCCATGAAACTGTCTTTCATGTCTATCTATACTAAATCTTTTACTCTTCTGAAATCTCTTGGCAATATATTTCCCCTTCTCTGAGGTATTTATCACTTGTAGCTTGCATTATAGTTTTAGTGTTCATATTTTATTTATGTAATAGACTTTAGCCTCCTTAAGAATTGGGACTTTGTAAAATGTATCTTTACATTATCACAGCAAATTGTAAAGTCTTCTCCATCTATTAAATTCTCAATTAAAATTTGTTGAATAAATGATGGATAGTAAAAGAAAAAGGAGAATGGTCTTTTCTAGAGGAAAATATAAGGCTAGTATCCATTGGAGGTCCCTGCCATTCCATTTAAATCTATTCATTCTCATTTTTAGTTTTTACTAGTTTAAGTATGATGCCCTTCAACTGGTCTTTCATAAACATGGAGTCACTAAAGACACATCATATGAAAGCATTTAACTTGCCTTTCTTGACGAGTTTGCTCCTCAGTAATTTCCATGGCACATTCCAGAGAGTTCTGGAGAGACTGCAGTTGATTCAAGGTCTCTTTCAATAAAAATCGAGTTACAAATTGTTTCAAATTGGAAGCCTCTTGGTAATCCTAAGGATGACAAAACAAATGCAATTAGACATATGGTAGGAAAAAATAACCAGGAGTGTTTTTTTCCCCATGTACCCATCAATCTCAGATTAATCCTTGAGAAAAATAGACAAAGAGGAGAGAAAACATGTTGGGTCCTGGAGGTTGGGGCAGAATTCTATCTACCCACCAGAAGTTGAATAAGAAAGCTGCAGAAATGACTTGAATATCTCATATCCCATTGCACCTGCTTCAAGATTAGAAAAAATGACAAAAACCAGTCAAATTATGGAATAGACATATGTAGAAAAGGAAGAAAATTACCTGGAGAAAAGTTTGGATCGTGACTAATTCTGGGTGTTTTTTTTTCTCTTACCAACTAAATGTACTCAAATGTTGACAATTGGCTTAATTCTCTCTTGATGTATTTATTATGCTTGATCTGTATTACACTGAAGCCAAAGGAACTTGTGTGTTGTTATTTCAAAATTCAGAAAATGTTAGGCTCGGAATACTTAAACACTTTACTAAATCTGCTTACGTCCCTCCTTCAGGAAATTTACCCGAAGCTCAGCTGCATCTAACTTCTAGTACAACACCTCAGCCACAAAAGCACCTTCACTCAAACAACCCCAAGTCTACACAGAGATCATCAGAAACATAATCACTATACCTGCCAAACTTAGTCTAGGTATACAGGTGGATTGTGGATGGTGCTACTTGTTGCTATTGTCTTCTTCTTTTTTATTTTATAAATTTATTTATTTAATTTATTTATTTTTGGCTGCGTTGGGTCTTTTTTGCTGCACACGGGCCTTCTCTAGTTGTGGCGAGCGGGGTCTACTCTTCGTTGTGGTGCGTGAGCTTCTCATTGTGGTGACTTCTCTTATTGTGGAGCGTGGGCTTCAGTAGTTGTGGCACATGGGCTCAGCAGTTGTGGCTTGCAGGCTCTAGAGTGCAGACTCAGTAGTTGTGGCGCATGGTCTTAATTGTTCCGCGGCATGTGGGATCTTCCCAGACCAGGGCTCGAACCCATGTCCCCTGCATTGGCAGGCAGATTCTTAACCACTAAGCCACCAGAGAAGCCCGCTCTTGCCTTCTAAAGTCGTAGAGAGAACCAAGGCAGAAAATAAAATCAGGTTGGCATGGAATGAAACGGTGACAGAACCACTTTTTCAGGTCATGGGACCAGCCAGCTAAACCTGATTTCCTAGAGTCTCAGGTGGGAACAATAGACAAAAGTTCAGCCAAGGAAAGGATTTATTTGGCTCCATTCCTAAACAACATGATTATCTCATGATTGAAAATACAAAACTGAAAGGAATGAGGGTGACAAGATAATGCTAGGAAATACAGCATGCTGGGGAATCTTGGGGCATGGTTGCAAATCCAAGCAAACAAGATTTAATTAATCTCTCTGGGTCTCAGCTTTCTCACTTACAAATCAGACTAAGCACTCTGGCATACATTCCAACTCAAAAACATTCTGTACTTCTATCAATTCTAAATTAGGAAATATTGAGCTTCTGGACTCCTGATACAAGTTACTTTGTTATTTTTCTTCTGTTAATGGAACAACCTAATGTTGTAGAAAACTTCATTTCTTTCCTAATGTGAAATCATAGAAGGTTTCGATCATCAATCCCTTTTCTAAGTTCATTTTTTTTGCAGCTGAACAGCACAGGAGATTTTCTTATCACCATATCTTATTTAAAAATTAAAAATTTTAATGTCTTTAAACTCCACCTAACAAACTAACCATAAAATGAAACATCACATGCTATAATAGCCATTAGGATTTTTGGTGAGTTAATTCAAGATAAAAAATATACAAAATATTTAATTTGATCAAATAGCTTGCCACTCAGCAGCAATAAAAGTTTCAAAAATTATTTCTCAATGTGTTTTTTTAAAATTGAGTAAAGCTTTCCTTTGAGATGAAAAGGAAACATGATGACAGGAAAAATTGTGTTTGATCCATTCCCCGCAGTTATTCCATTTTGCTAAAGCATATTTTTAAAATAAAATGTATTAAGACGATGAGAAGATGTAATTGTGTAGTCAGAGATCATACCAATTGTATTTGCACCTCAGTATACACTGCACTAATCTAAAGCAAATGATATTGTACTTATTTGAGGACAGCAGGTAAAAGTGAAGGAACTATGCATTTATTGAGCTATGCAGCACTACATTGGCCTTATTCTTTTCTCATTTAAGTGTTAAATATTTGTCATGTCAGAACTATCTATAGAAAGGAGATTTTGTTTTTTGGGTTATCCAATTTAAACACTCTGGTCACTGAGATTAGATTTTAGCTTCAGAGACACAAAGGTCTACTCTTCTGTATGCCCCATGGTGCCCAGAGCAAATACTCATCCAACACTTGAATGTTTGCAGATAAGCTAACTGAGAATTGTTTGTGTTTGCTATTTTGGTCTTACATATAAAGACTGTGGTGATGTTAGAGTTTTGAGGACAGCTAAAATCAGTCAACTGGCTACTCTGTCATTTTCTATCATAGCAAATTAAGAAATTGTTATGCTGAGACTTGCATCTTACCTTGAGAATTTGTTATCCTCATTAGTAACTCTCCAGATAACATTAAGAGATGGCACAACCCAAATGGTACATTTGACAGAAATGTTGATGCCTTGACATTGAGAGGAGTGGTGGGTGGGTTTAAGGCTTTGGGGGATTAGGTTTTTGAGTCAACTATGAAGATTTGCTGTTATGTGCTGCCCTTGATGATAAGGAGAAAAAAGAGCTTGTTTTCTAATATTTATCATTCCAAACTCAGCTCATGGTATCATCTGTGTATTGCCTTTCCTCCCCTTGAACCACTATTTCTTTTCACAGGATTAGGCACACATCCTTTCGCTCTGTATGCTCTTGTAACAATGTTTCCTTACCTAGGGTATAATTTTATCATTTTATATTGTAATATGTTGTTTACTAACATGTCTTGATCATCTCTGCCTCCAGAATACCCAGAACAAAACCTGGCTCACAGCAGCTGATCCTTAAATGCTTAAAGACTACGTGAGGTACAGGGAATCACATGGAGATTCAGGCACCAGAGGGAGTGTCAGTTCTGGAAACTCCTCTTGCCTCTCCCCAATTACCAGATGCCTTCCCCTACATCTAGCCCTTGCTGGTGGTAGATGCTGCTGTGCAGCTTGTCCAGTCATGTGGGCTCTAGAATAAAGAGAAATACAGCTTTATTTTTAACAGATTGTCCTCATTTCATTTTCTAGACCATTTGTTCATCTTCTTCCCTTCCCTTAATCTGGATCCCAAGGTTTAGGACTGTAGACCCAGGTGGCTTAGATCCAATCTTCCTTTCCTTCCCTCAGATATGCAGCAGATGTTCCTTTGGAAGGCAGTGGCAAAAGAAGCAGATGGAAAATTAAATAGATAACAAGCTGGGAAATGTCAAAGCCTTGCCCTTTTTATTCTCAACAAATGTGTTGGCTGAGAAGGTACAGAAAGGGATCTTTGCATACTGAACTCCCGGAAGACTGATATATTGGCTTAAGGCACATATTCCTTTGGGCAAAACCTGGAATCTGAGAGATAGGTAGAAAGAACTAATAAAGCAGTAAAAAAAAATATACAAATGGTACCTGATATTCAAATTCTGCCTCTTTTTCCAAACACAGGTTATTCTTTCATGTCTATTAAAAAGGATATGGGCAAATGAAGGTTTAGAGCATGTTTCTCAGATTCCAATAATGTTCATTGAATTCACTGATAATTGTTCAAGTGATAATCAAGGGGAAATTGTCAATAAAGTAGCATTAATATTTCCATTTGTGCCTTTGGAAAGTCAGAACGTAAATATTTCAATCCACGTATTTACTTTGTGTGGAGCTGGAACAAGGCTAGGAGTCATTCAAGTAAAATCCTTAGCATTAGAAGCATGGTACTTTGAAAATCAGGTTTCTTAGAGGACTGACTGTGCATTTTTACTGTCAGGTCATCATCAGAAAGCAAGCTCTTTCCCATCTGGGTGATGGAAGAGTGGAAATCTTAGCTATTAACCCACTATGAATCACTTCAGTTAATTATGAAAATGAGCGCATAGTCTTCCCTGTTTGTATTTGTCCTACTTGAAAATTAATCAAGTCAGTGACAACCCATCTCAGTGTCTTCTTGTTTATGAAATCAGACACAATCACACTTAGCAGGGGGTACTACTTCTGACTGCCTTTTAATCTAAGCTCCTGCTGCTCTACCTGTTGTGTGAGACATCTGTGCCAGCTTCTATAACAGAAAAAAATTTACTTTTACAAAAATAGTGCTGTTTTTTTCTCCTTTCCTACTTTCCCCCAAACTGTTACTTTGTAAATACTAACTGGCTTATCTATTAATATACTAATACTAACTATTATCTATGTCCTATTTCTTTAAACATTCTTAGGCTTTCATCTTATTATTTTTATTAAAAAAAATTATTGGGGTATAGTTGATTTAAAATGTTGTGTTAGTTTCAGGTGTGCAGCAAAGTGAATCATATATATACATATATATATATATATATATATATATATATATATATATATATATACCCTTTTTTTTAGATTCTTTTCCCATATAGGCCATTACAGAGTACTGAGTAGAGTTCCCTGTGCTATACAGTAGGTCCTTATTTGTTATCTATTTTATATTAGTGTGTATATGTCATCCCCCATCTTCCAATTTATCCCTCCCCGGCTTACCCCCTGGTAACCATAAGGTTGTTTTCTACATATGTAACTCTATTTCTGTTTTGTAGTTAAGTTCATTTGTCCCCTTTTTTTTTAGATTCCACATATAAGTGATATTATATGATATCTGTCTTTCTCTGTCTGACTTACTTCACTCAGTATGACAATGTCTAGGTCCATCCATGTTGCTGCAAATGGCATTATTTCCTTCTTTATGACTGAATAATATTCCGTTGTATATATGTACCACATCTTCTTTATCCATTCCTCTGTTAATGGACATTTAGGTTGCTTCCATATCCTAGTTATTGT